TTAAAAATAGGCAAGTGTTTTGTTTTGCAAGTTTGATTCAAGTAACTAAGAGGTTATCTACTCCTAAATTTCTCAAAGATTTCTCCTATGTTTTTAACCCTTTTAACAAGTTTGTTCCACCATTGCATTTGGTGGACAATCTTATGTTAGGATGTGAAAGGGACGGGCGCGGGTCATCGTTTAGACCATAATTGCAATGGTGCCAAGTATCTTTGGGCAATTTTTCTTTAAGGGACTTGATCATTTTAGGCAACTTTTGAAAGCGTCATCGAGGGACCATGATCATTTGAATTGTGTTTGTTTTGCCCAAAGAGACCTAACATGCAATATGGCCCATTTATTGAAGGCAACAAGTGGAATACCCTAGGGGTGCAAGTGTGATTAGTGTTGCCCATTTTCATGCTTGATTATCTTGAAATTAGGTCAAACTACTTTGGTTAATTGATTTGCATACAAACCCTAATTCTAGCATGGTATAATTAGAAAGCATTAAAGTGCGAAAAATAAAGTTCCTAAGTTATTACAACACAATATGGGAAGGGGGTACAAATGTTCAAATGGGGGGTATTTTGACAAGGAATTTAAACCTAGACTATTACATCAAATTGGGAATTTACAAGATATTTAATATACAATAATTAAATAAAATAGAATAAATATGCAAGATGCAAAAATATTTTTTTTATGTGTATGAAAAAAAGGTATTTTTTATGTGTCAAATAAACAAAATAAAAAGTATTATTTTTTGGAGTTTTTATGTATTTAGGGCAAAACCCTAATTTATTAAATAAAAGGTGTTAATTATTTAATATGTACAATATTTATTTATTATATACAAAAATAAGATAAGAATGAAGTATATTTGTCAAAAAAGTATTTTTAATGTTAAATATTAATAAAAATAAAAATGTATATATCTTGTATTTTTAACCTAAATATACTAATATATATGTAAATATTTATATTATATGATAAATATATTAAATATATACAAAATAATAATATTTAGTATTTATAAAAAAAAGGTATATTTTATATAAAATATTTTCAGAAGATAAAATAAAATAAAAATGGAAAATAAAATGTATTTGCATTATTTAGTATTTTTAAATAAAAGTGTTTATGTATTTATTTATGTACAAATATTAATCTAAACAAATAAATGCCTAATAAATATAAAAATGGTGTAAAAATATTTTTTTATATTTTTAATATTATGAGGAAAAATAAATAAGTCAGAACAAAAAAGAAAAGATCAAAAAATCATAAAAATAAGCATAATGGGCTTAGGGGGTGTAAAAGTAACAAAAGGGTGCAAATAGAAATGTGAAACAGAGCCCAGCCCAAAAAGTCCTTCTTCAACCTCCAGACTGTATGAACAACAATGAACACGCGTTTTCTATCTTCCAATTCCTGGACTTTCAAGTAAAACTCACAACATGAAAAATGTAGAGCATTAAGAGACGAATCCAGACATATAAAGAACTTGACTTAACTCTCTAAGATGAGAGAGAATTTCTTCTCCCCCAATTCCTGACCTAGTTTTTGTTCCATGTTCAGACATTAAATTCTCACAGCACACATAATATAAATGAAAACTAATTACATGGGCATGTTCAGGGCTATGAATGTGACATATTTTCTTCACAAACTTAAAGCTAACAATGCCTGGATAGAGAGATACGAGTTCATGAACTTACCTGTTCAGTTGGAGTTGTATCTGGTGATGGAGGTGTCTTCAATGCAAGGTGATGATTGGTACAGCTTCCTTGATGTCCAGGGATGCTATTCCAAGTTTTACTTTGCTTTGAAACTAGCTGAATCGAGTTATAGAACTCCACCTGCAAAACAGAAAAATGAAAATGGTGATGTTGAATGGGAGTGTTACAGGTCGTGTTTGAGGTTTGGAATAGCTTCAAGGGATGTTGAGGGATGTGTTTGAGGTGATTTTAGCAAGAATGCATGAAAGGATTGAGCTATGGAACTCAATCTGCAGCAGGTCCCCTGTTTTGGCAGTTTGAGGGTGATTCTGTGTTTGAGAGGGTGTTGGAGATGGTTGGCTCGTGTTCTAGCTCAGAATGGATGTTTAGAATGTGTTTGACAAGTTTGCTTAAGCCTTGGTTTACAGGAATGATAGTTGTGTTCTGTTATGCTATGTTTCTTCACACTTAAGCAAGAAAATGTCCACTTGAGTTCTAGGCTGATAGAGGCCCCCCTAATGTGCTGCACCACTTAGTCTTGATCAATGTAATTAGTCTAATAACTTGTGCCACGAGGATATGCACTGTACTTGCTTGGATTGCTAATTGACATAAAGTTCCACTTTTGCAAAAATGGCCATTATGCTTTTTCTACTTTGGGACTAAACCTCTATGTAATGCTTGAACACATAAAATATGGTCTTGTAACAATGAGTTTGCATTAAATTTATGAGTGCAAAAGGGATTTAGGGCCTGTAATCAAGAAATGCAAGCTGAGTTCAAAATTGCCTAAGTGTATGGACATGTAATTTGGTCATGAACAAAGTGAGTTTTTCCCATATTGACAAATTTGATTCTCTCTAACCATGAGGTTGTTTGATGAGTTCTTGGACATTTTGGAAAGCTTGGAATGTGTACTACAATCCATATTTGAAATGCAAATTGAAAATCCAAGTGGAAGTATGTGAAAAATGGTCTTGAAGTTAGGTAAAAACCTTGCCTAAAATAGGTCAAATTTTCTCTAAGTTAAGAATGGTTTGGTACCCTTGTTCCAAAAATTGTAACTTGAGCTACAAGCTTCTTTTGGGAAAACTTTGTGAATAAAAGTTGTAGATTTTGAAATAGGCTAAAACTTTCATGTTTTGACTTTTGCTTGAATCCAAATGAATCTTGGTGAGAAAGTGGGACAAAGTTAGGAAAAAATTAGGGTTTTTCATAACTTAGAAAAATTCTAAGTTATGAAAAATCTTCATTTCAAACCCTAATTTGCAATTCTTGATTTCTTGATGAACAAGTTTCATGATTTGGCATGTTTTGATGAAAAAGGAATCTTGACACTTGATTTTGACCAAAAAGTCAAAGTTTGACTTTTTAGTATACAGTCAAAATTGATCAATTGACTGGGAAATTCAACTGTCAATCTTGTGTATTTGGGATCTTTTGAACTTGTTGAGCATGTCAAGACAATTCCATGGGGTCCTTGAATCCATATGTGAGCTTGATTTGCCATTGGCTAGGTCAAACAGTCAAAAATTGCCTTTGTGCAGTCAAAACCCAAAAAATGACCATTTTGCCCTTTTGGTGATCTGATCAAATTTCTTATGGAATTGTGATCCAAACTTGACCAAATGGTTCATATGAGTTCATAATGTTGATGTGGGTCAATTTTCATGAGATTTGACTGTAAATTGGCCACAGTTGACTTTTTCCCAAATACAGTTGATTTCTAGGTCAACTGTCCAATTGACTGGGCAAAATTTGGAATCAAGACTTGAAACTTGGTATGGATAAAATTGGGAGTCCAACATGAGGCATGAAAGTCATCTTAGGCATTTTGGGTCAAAATATCTTTGTGTAAACACAAACCCTAATTTGGGTCAACAGTGCAAGGAGAAGTCTTGAGCAGAGGAAACCCTAACTGGATCTTGAGCTCCAAGGGTCTTGTGATGAGAAAATGTTGAGGAAATGGGAGGGAAAATTTTGGGGTACAACAACAATTTATCTGGGTTGTTTTTTTTGTATCTTAGTGTCTTCTTTTGTCAGTGGGCAGTGGCCACACCTCTAAGTAATCAGTAGTGAAAATATTCAGTTCACATCTTGAGAGTTGTGTTTGGGCAGGATCAATAAAATTATACAAGAGTACAACTATAGCCAGGAGTTTAGCCATAGTGATTTGATTCTGGATGGACGGTTAAAGGTGAAGGAATTGTGGGTGCTTCTATAGAGACCAACGAACAACACCTACAAATTGATTGCTTGATGAAAAATCTTTGCAGCTCAAATCCTTTTGTTACAATGGATGGAATAAAATAATGCAAGTAGCTCTTCCAGTTATTAATAACAAAACAAAAATTTCTTTTTTAATCTATTCTTCCATCTTTGTCTGCTCTTTCAATAAAGATCTATTTTCTTCTCCATCTTCTTCTAGGAAGAATTTCCATTTTAAGACAAGATTTATAACTTCAAATTATGCACTAATGCACTAGTGGGAACAATAATCCAACTGCAAATTCAAGTCGCCAGATTGATTTTTTGTCTCAAAAAAACAAGGGAAACAAAGAAATTTATGCATTTGTCGCTAGCATTTCTGTGTAGTATATGGTGAGTTATTTTTCTTCTAAAGGCCACCATGGCTTGGTATTTGCGTAGGATACAATTATTTTTCATGTCGCCACTCATCAGGATTGCATCATTTTAGAGATATACTAATATGCAACAACAATCTTTTAGTTGAACAATCAAGAAATTGTTTGTACTATAAATAGGAAATCCAACAATAATTGAATTAGTTTTTCAATCATTTTGATTGACAAGCTTTTATACCATAATTTTGATGGATGCTTTATTTGAGTAATGAAATTTTTAAATAAAGTTATATGGTATTAATCCAAAAAAGAAACATTACCCCATTCAAGTCTCAAAAACTAAGCTAGTGCAAATGGAAGTAAAAGTTCAACGACGATTTAGTTCTAACACTTCAACTTCACTGTTCAACTTATTTCTTTACGTACATATATCCAAACAAATCATTCTCATTCAAGTCATTTATGAGAAATCAATTTTACAAAATTATCTTATCACATTATTTTTTAAATCTTACTCCACCGCTTTTACTCTATTTAAGACTTCCAAAACTAATCGATAAGATGCCACATGACGTTCAATTTTGGCTATCCATAAAAGGTTCCCCCTGCTTGCTTGACCAAACTCCCTTTTCCTCTCTTCCTTTTGAGAAAAGGAAAGATTCTTCTTTTCATTCCTAGTCAGAACAATTGACAGCTGCTCTCCTAGGGAAAGAGCCTATCTTGTTTTCTTCCGCTCTTCATACATTTCTTTAACTTCCTTGTTGATACACTTTTCTTTTCCACTGGACCAGGACCAATATTTCTTTGTGTCATCTTCTTTAGGTGGAGGTACCTTTAAGACTGAAGGCCCGCCTTTATACCTGTATCGCTTGAGAGCTTCAAAGTTAATTGGAGCACTTTTCTTCTTTGTAGATTTACCTACAGACACAAAGTTCATTAAACTAGTGAATATGCAACACAAGGAATGACTAGTGAGAATTTTCAAGATGTCAAATTACAAGCATTAAATTAATGGAATGACTATTATAAGCATAACTGATGGAATATTCGAATAGTCAATCAGATTTAAGATATTATTTGTCTACTATAATTGTATAGCAGGGTAAGAAAACCATATTGCATTGCACTGACTGAAGCTATAGATAAGCATATATCCCTAACAACTAATCTAAAACAACAATCACTGAATATCAATAACAAGGAATCTCTTCCACGATCAGGATGCCCATCGCACGACATCGTCACATTGTGCAATTTCTCTTATTATCCATCAATAAGTATTCTGCTTTAGTCAGAACTTCTATTCTATCATATCAAATGCTGGCCACAAAATGATCTCAAGGTAATTGCAACATAATTAGACTAGTTCATCATTGTTATTTTATCAAGTTATGAATTTATCTATACTCTTAAATGAAGCCCAGTTTTCCTTTATCAATAATATGATCAGAAATAACCAAATCAACAAGTGAAGGAACTAGCCACACCAAGGCAATGTCCTCTTCATGGTATCAGTACATGAAGATAAAACCATGTTAACACATATACAATGTAATTAAAATGCAAATCAAATCTCCAAAAATGATAACAACCATTAAAACGCTACTCTGCAAACAAACAGTAAGCAATTCAGTGAAAAAACAATACTTTATTTCAAATCTGAGTTCAAACACAAAGACCCATAAAAAAAATTAAGAAACGGTTGAGAAAAACAGACAAGTAAAAACCCGCGCGTGCAGTAAAATTAGGGGAATAAGCAGTCATGAATTTTTGGGGAAAAGGAAGAAAAAATAAAGGTGGAAAGATGAAGAGAATACCGATATAGCAGAGACATTGATTCTGTTCTTTGTAATATATTTTCTTTACATTGTCTGTATAACCTAAGTCTTTCAATACACCAATTAACTCGAAATAACTCCACCTATCAACATCTACTGACAATTCAGATATCAGGCCTCCTTCATAGACACTAAGCTCTGGATCAACGATCTCACCACTATGGAGAATTACGAGTTTCAGAAATTCATCCATTAAACCTAAATCCCATAATAAATATTCAGCTACGAAGACACATAAAACAAGAATAAGATACTTAAATCCCCAAATCCCAGAACAAAAATTGAATGGAATACCTAAATCCCTTAATACCAATTACCAACGAGTATGAGAATAGTTACCTGGAATGCAATCAACTTTGCAATCACCTACGCAATCACATTCTCAAGCTTTGCAAGCCTCTTCAAACTCGCCTCTGCAGATTCTCGTTCTTCCTCTTTCCTTTGGTTTTCGTTTTGGACAAAATGAACATGCATATGCTTTCGTGTGCTTTTGGAGATTGTCTCTCCTTATTCTTTGCCACGTTGCCTCCAACAAGCCACTTCAGCATGACAAATGCCACCTGTAGTCTGTTTTTTGTATTTAACTAACGTTTCACTACCGGAAGGACTAACGTGGTTACGTTTTGAAACTTAAAGGACCAATTTGACACGAAAAAAAGATAAGGGACTAAAATGAACCATGATTTATAGTTAAGGGACCAAAATGAGTATTTTGCCTAAAAAAATTATTAAATATAAAATTTGTAAAAAATTAATTGTGAAAAATAGAAAGATTTTTTTTTTATTTAGGATTGATAGAGTTGTAATAATAAAAGAGTTTATAAAATTTAATAAATAAAATAAATAAATATTCAAAATTAAAATTAGTTGAAATATAATTTTACATAAAAGTCTAAAAAGATAATGATATAAAAGAATTAAATTTAATGTTGTATTTATTAAAATTTAGACTATAATTTAAAATATAAAAAAATATATGAAAGACAGTAGGATAACTCACATAAAAATGCATATTTAATATGATAATTCGTGCGTCCACACAGATACTTGTGTGTCATTCGTGCGTTCACATGAAATTTGGTTTGATCACTTGTGCATTCAAACGGTACTGATGTGTTACCCGTGTATTCACATATATTTTAATTTGATATTTGTGCGTTTACACGGTACTCATGTGTTACTTGTGCATTTACACATATATTAACATGGTTATCCTTGCGTTGTACACTAGTATGGTACGCAGTTAGTGAATAAAGTCATTTAATATGAAAATAATAATAATTAAGTTAGTGAATTTTGAAAATTTCTCATAAAATAGAATAAAACTAATTTCTATAAAATACACTTTTAAAACATTGCAAGACTTACATACAGAATGTTATTTCAGGTCTATGTTGCAACTGAATTCAAAATATATTTATTGCTAAAAGATTATCATAACTGCAAATTTAAGACCTAGTATAGAAACATAGATGACATAAGCCAAAGTCTCAAATTGTATAAAATATCAGTAATTTTTTTATCAAGTTTAGTTGATTGAATTGCTATTGATTTCCATTACTTCATATGTTCCATTATTCATTTGATGGGAGAAAAACCTATCATATAATAAATTTTGATCCATCACGCTCGATAAACGGGTGCTAAATTTGAAGAAATATAGATGAATGAAATTTCAAATTCAAGCACTTAATAAAGTTAAAGCATCCTTATATTAAATATCATGCGTAAACTTTTACATAAGAAATTGAATTATAAACACAATTCTATAACTTTGAAATACGAATATAACATCATTATTTAATCTTGATATATTTTTCTTATGCAAATAGCTTATAACCTAATAGATAGTTTATAGTTTATGACAGATGACTAATAATGATGACAGATGACTGTTAACTGATAGTTTATAGTTTATAGTTGATAATTGATAATTTATAATTGATAAATTAATTGAAGTGTTTAATAAAATTAATAGTTCAATTAACTAAAAAATTAAAATAATATAAAAAATATTTAATATTTAATTACTTTATTTTAAACTAAAATAAATTATAAAAAGTAGTAGTAGATTTTAGTTAAAATAATAAGGATAAAAATAAAATAAAAAATTAGAAGCTATAAGTTATGAGTTAAAATATTATTTGAAATAACGTCTAAAAAATAAAAATAAATTATAAATTAATAAAATAAACTATAAACTCGTGACAAAAAGACTATTATTAAATATATCTTTTATTATTGAAATATAATTTTATAAGTCTAAAAAATGAGTAGGCAAACAGAAACTTAAGTTTTGGTCGAAATTAGATTCACCATTGTCTTGCCATTAGAAATTAGAAGGTTAACACTAATTTAGATTAACATAAGCACTCTTCATGCAACTTTAATGAGTTCACTTCTCGATGAACTCTGAAAGCTTAGAAAACGAAACAATTATCTCTATCATGGTTGGAAAGGGGTTCGTGTCCTCATTCATCTCAACAGTATTTCTTTATCAACTAGATGGAATATGTTTTTTTTTTGTTTTGTAAGCAATGAAATTATTAATAGAAATCGAGTATAAGGGATACTCGAACCTATTATAAATAAGAAAAGTTAATCCCTTTTCTTAACACAATTCAGAGGAAAATTAAACCAATCATAATAACTACAAAAATGACGGAATACAACTCATATCCATCTATTTCCAAGACAAAAAAATGATAGAGGAGAAGCACTCATCGAAGCTAAAAACACTTTCTTTAAATAAAATGACATTCCGCATAATCCACAGATTCCATAAAGTCGCCAACCATATGATTCTAATGGATTTTCTAACTATTAAGTTCTTCACTTCTTAAATCGAAAACAAAATAGATGGAGAACCATGGAAAGAAAAGTTTAGCTGGTTACCTGTCCATTTATTCACCGTCTCCCAAATGCGAGTCGAGCACACACACGAATTAAAAAGATGAGTAGAATTTTCCTCTTCCCGAAGACAAAACACACAGCTAGAGTTCAAAGAACCGTGAATAACTCCTCTCTTGAGAAGTTGTTGTCTAGTCAGAAACCTATCGAGAATCATTCTCCAACCAAAAATATGGATTTTTGATGGAACCTGATAAGCCTAGGCCACCCATCACCAAGTTTTACACCCGCAGGCAGCGACTTTCAAGGAGTGCAGGATCAGGAGATACGAATCAGGGGGTGTGACCCTTGGTGAACAGACACACCCACCCGAAAGGATGCGACCCTTGGAACCAAACAACATCAAATCTAACAATTATAACCCTTCAAATTAATTGTGCCAATTAGGAACAGATGTAAATGTAGTATAAATAGAAGCAAATCAGAATTAGGAAGACATTCAGAAAATTAGGAAGAATTTGAATTGTGGAGAGACAGACTCTCGAAAACCTGTGTTGTAATAATCCAATATTATCTACATAAATTTCAGTATTCATCTTTTCATTGATCTTGAAGCCCAACGTCACTTGTTCAAAGTTGGCACTAATCTCTCCCAGGCTTGCTAACCATTCCATGCGTAAAACCACATCCACGCCTCCAAGGCCAAACAAGAAGAACTGTTGTTGTACTTGTACTTCTTGCACTTTCAAGGGAACCTTTCTGCATACTCCCTTACATTTGATTTTGTGACCATCTCCGACTTCTACAACGTATGATGGAGTGTCTTCCACTTCTAATTATAATTTTTCCACCAGTTCCCTTGAAATGAAATTATGGGTGGCACCGCAGTCTATCAATACTATGACTTTGTTATCATCAATACTTCCCCAAACCTTCAAGTATCGGTGTTGTACCCCAAAATTTGCTCTCTCATTTCATCAACTTTTTCTCACCACAAGACCTTTGAAGCTCAAGATCAAGTCAGTGTTTGCTCTACTCAAGACTCCTCCTTGCACTGTTGACCCAAATTAGGGTTTGAGTTTGCACAAAGATGTTTTTACCTAAAATGCCCAAAATTAATTTCATGCTTCATGTTGGACTCACAAGTTTACCCATACCAAGTTTCAAGCCTTGATTCCAATCTTTGCCCAGTCAACTGGACAGTTGACCTAGAAATCAGCTGTATTGGGGAAAAAGTCAACTATGGTCAATTGACAGTCAAACTTCATAATTTTTGACCCACATCAACATTATGAACTCATATAGACCATTTGACCAAGTTTGGATCACAATTCCACAAGAAATTTGATCAGATCACCAAAAGGGCAAAACGGTCATTTTTAGGGTTTTGACTGCACAAAGGCAATTTTTGACTGTTTGACCTGGCCAATGGCAAACCAAGCTCACATATGGACTCAAGGACTCAATGACATTGTCTTGACATGTTCAATAAATTCAAAAGATCCCAAATGCACAAGATTGACAGATGAATTTTCCAATCAACTGATCCAAATTTGACTATATACTGAAAAGTCAAACTTTGACTTTTTGGTCAAAATCAAGTGTCAAGATTCATTTTTCATAAATACATGTCAAATTATGAAACTTGTTCATCAAGAAACCAAAAATTACAAATTAGGGTTTGAAATGAAGAAATTTCATAACTTAGAAATTTTCTAAGTTATGAAATTTCCTAATTTTTTCCTAACTTTGTCCCATTTTTTCATCAAGATGTATTTGGATTCAAACAAAACTCAAAACATGAAAGTTATAGTCCATTGAAAAATATACAACTTTGATTCACAAAGTTTCCTCAAAAGAAGCTTGTAGCTCAAGTTATGATTTTTGGAACAAGGGTGCAAAACATTCTTAACTTAGAAATTTTTTGACCTATTTTAGGCAGGATTTTTGCCCAACTTCATGGCCACTTTTCACATGCTTCCACTTGGAATCTCAACTTGCATTACAAAGATGGATTGTAGCACACATTCCAAGCTTTCCAAATTGTCCAAGAACTTCTCAAACACCCTTGTGGTTAGGGAGAATCGAATTGGCAAAGTTGGGCAAAAGTCACTTTGTTCATAAGCCAATTACATGTTCATAACTTTGCATTTTCAAAATCAGCTTGTACAAGCTAGATTACAGGCCTCTAACCCTTCTCACACTCAATAATTAAATGCCAAACCAATGTGCCAAGATGTTATTTTGTTCATTTGGTCATTACACACAAAATTAATCCATAATTTGAAAAAGTAACTTTGCCATTTTTGAAAAGTAATGCTTTATGTCAAATACAAATCCAAG